AAGTTTTTCAGTTGCATTGGTGCCTAAACTCATTTTGAAGTGGCAAGAACTTTGGCATTTTAGTGGATGAAAAATGATACAATAAGAAATTGCACTTGATGCAGTTAACACTTATGTAAATAACTGTATGAAGTTATTTATACATATCATTTTCATATCATATATAATTTTCCTGTGGCAGAGATGCAAGCTATTGATTTTGCTGCCAGTTATGATTCTTGGTGTCATGGCAATAGTTTTTTGAGCCCAACTGGCACTTGGGTGCTATCACAATTTTTATGAGGGTTGTTGCACAGGTGATCCAGAACTGAGATGTCAGACTGAGAGCTCAGTGGTTTCCTGTACACTAAAACCATTAGAGACAGTGTCCAGTACCGTGCTAGATGTTTAGTGTTCCAGGTGGGATGAGTTATTAGCCTCATCAGTGGGAATGAGGTGAAGTGAAGGTTATTACACGGTTCATAGGGGAGATCAGGGACATTGCTCTAACCTCTGTTTTGCCAGCTCCCAAAGCCCCTCCTTCTGCCACAGTTTCTGTGTCCATATGGTTACGTAATTACTATTGGTCCCTGATTGTGCTTCTTTAGGCTGTTGCTCTCACAACTTGCTTTTAGTACTTTTTTTGAAGTTGGATTGTTTTTCATTAAGCTTCCTTCTGCATACGAGGGGAGGATAACTCATCTGAGTTCATTACAAAATGCAGGACTTGCAGACGACAAATGAGAGAGTGTTCAGGAGAAGCTGATCACCATGAAGGCATGTCGAGTGATGATGAGTTGACTCCGACAGAGGCGACCGAGTTCCAGAAGAGCAAAGGTTGGTGACAGTCTTATTGTGATGTCCTGGAACAAAATCTTTCTGCTATTTTTTTAATGATTTTTTTTATTTTTAGGAAAGAAATACTTCATTTGAGTTACATGTTCTTAGTTACACACTGTAAAAGAGAAATGCGTTCAGACAGTTCTCACTAATGACTTGGGAGGAATAGGTGTACAGTTGTAGATTTCTTTTGGTATGAGTTACGTGGTGGTAGCTTTATGCATGACTGAACTAGAAGTAAGCTCTTCTAGATTATGCCAAATCTGATCTGACAGTACTCAATGCAGTGCTACAACATGTTTTGTATAATCAATTTATTTCCTGAAGGTAGAGTGAATTAAAGGTTGGTGTTTTAATTATCTTGAACAA